GCTGGCCTGTGTGGGTGTCAGTGCTGGCCTGTGTGGTGCTGTGTGGGTGTCAGTGCTGGCCTGTGTGGGTGTCAGTGCTGGCCTGTGTGGGCGTCAGTGCTGGCCTGTGTGGGTGTCAGTGCTGGCCTGTGTGGTGCTGTGTGGGTGTCAGTGCTGGTCTGTGTGGTGTCAGTGCTGGTCTGTGTGGGTGTCAGTGCTGGCCTGTGTGGTGTCAGTGCTGGCCTGTGTGTCGGTCGTCCTGGGCTGAGGTGCAGTGGGAAGGGTTCGTGACCAGAGGCCAGGGAGAGCCGGGTGCGGGTGGGACGCCGAGCCGCTGCCTGTGCGTGGTCCTGAGCTGGGGCCGGAGGCCCTGGAGGAGTTTGTGTGGCTTGCACGCCCCTGGGCCCCTGGGAGAAGTGCCCTGGGCTCTGGAGGGTGGGCGGCTGCTCTGTCCCTGGGGAGGCCTCTGCCTGCTGCCCCTCCACACGTGTGCACTTTAAAAGCCACCAGTAGACACTCCATACTCTGATTTAAAAACCTACTTTTTCACGATAAGGAAAAATAGAAAACGGCGAAGTCTTCCCCAGAAAGGAAGTTACGCTGTATTGGCTGTAATACCTTGGAGCTGCTGAAGAATGTTCAGTGGGGCCGTCACTGCGGCTCACTAGGCTAATCCTCCGCCTAGCGGCGCCGGCACCCCGGGTTCTAGTCCCGGTCGGGGCGCCGGATCCTGTCCTGGTTGCCCCTCTTCCAGGCCAGCTCTCTGCTGTGGCCAGGGAGTGCAGTGGAGGATGGCCCAGGTGCTTGGGCCCTGCACCCCATGGGAGACCAGGAGAAGCACCTGGCTCCTGCCATCAGATTAGCGCGGTGCGCCGGCTGCAGCACGTCGGCCGCGGCGGCCATTGGAGGGTGAACCAACGGCAAAGGAAGACCTTTCTCTCTCTCTCTCTCTCTCTCTCTCACTGTCCACTCTGCCTGTCAAAAAAAAAAAATGTTCAGTGGAAGGGTGACGAGAACACGAGTCTGAGCAGTGACCCCCGCTCCTCACTGGGGGGGGGCACGTGGCCGTGGGAGCCACGGGCAGGCGAGGCTGCGAGGTGTCCCTCTTCCTGTGCCCCTGCGTTTTAGGCTTCCTGTGAGGAACGCTGGTTTCCATGCTGGGAAGGATTTACAATCATTAAGACACAAACCTCGAGGGCCCGGCGTGGTGACGCAGCGAGTAACGCCGCCGGTGCACGCGGGCATCCCGTGTGGGTGCCGGTGCGTATCCCGGCTGCTCCACTCCCAATCCAGCTCCCTGCTGTTGGCCTGGGAAAGCAGAGAAGATGGCCCAAGTGCTTGGGGCCCTGCACCCACCGGGGAGACCTGGAAGAAGCTCCTGGCTCAGCCCTGGCCCTTGCAGCCATCTGGGGAACGAACCAGCGGACGGAAGAGCGCTTTTTCTGTTGCTCTTTCAAATAAATTTAAAAAAAAAAAAAAAAAGTAAATAAAGGACACAAATGCGAGCTGTTGCTGTCTGCCAGATCTCACTCGTGACGCCTGCTTGTGTTCCGTGGTGTCCTGCGCCTGGAGGATCAGGAGAGCAGGCCGGCCGGGGGTTCAGGTGTCGATGGCCCTGGGCCCAGGCCCGGGGTTGGCTGGTCGTGGTGTTGCTGTTTTCCTCCCTGGCTCCAGGGCTGGATGCACAGAGCTCATGTGGCAGGTGTCGTCCTGGGACCGTCTTGCCTGCCCTGTGGGTTCTTACTGTGTGTGTAGCGAACCACCCAGCATGGGGATCCGAGTGTCAACAAACGGTTCTGCCCACTCCATGGTGTCCTGTTTCTAAACTAGGGTTAGGATCACACCTGGCTGGTCACATGACGGCGCTCATCCCGAGCCGTCGCACTGGGCAGCTGCCCGCAGGCGGGACGCGTGGCCGGCCCCCTCTCAAGGCCTTCCTTCTCACATTCCCGTGTTACATGTTGGGACAGGTGCCTGAACAGGAACCTGGGGTTGTTTACCGTTTGAAGCGAGTGCTTGTCACCAGCGTTGACAAGAGCCAGAGCTGTGATGATGTCACCGAATCGCAGCCGTGCACTCTCGGGGTGGGCACACGAGTGTGTCTTGTTAGGATGAGTGACTGATGCTGTAGCTACACCTGCTGTGTGCCTCGGTGTGCCCTTGGCTGGCAGTGATGCGGCTGCGGCTCAGGAAGCGCTCTCACCGGCCGTTGAGTACAGGTGTGTCCTCGCCCTGCGGCTCGTTTCCTGCCAGCCGTGTATCCTGTACAAGAGAGGGTAAGCCGCCTGTTTGGAGTCCTGCGGCTGTTCTGGTAGGCTATAGGGTCCTTTTCCAACTCATACCCTGACCATAGACACAGGCCCTGCCCGGGTGCCCTGACCCTATGCGCACACACACACACACACAGTGTGTCTGACCGTAGACACAGGCCCTGCCCTGGTGCCCTGACCCCGTGCACACACACACACAGTGTGTCTGACCGTAGACACAGGCCCTGCCCTGGTGCCCTGACCCTGTGCACGCACACACAGTGTGTCTGACCAAGACACAGGCCCTGCCCGGGTGCCCTGACCCTTTGCACACACACACACACAGTGTGTCTTACTGTAGACACAGGCCCTGCCCGGGTGCCCTGACCCCGTGCACACACACACACAGTGTGTCTGACCGTAGACACAGGCCCTGCCCGGGTGCCCTGACCCTGTGCACACACACACTGTGTGTCTGACCAAGACACAGGCCCTGCCCGGGTGCCCTGACCCTTTGCACACACACACACAGTGTGTCTTACTGTAGACACAGGCCCTGCCCGGGTGCCCTGACCCTGTGCACACACACACACAGTGTGTCTGACCGTAGACACAGGCCCTGCCCGGGTGCCCTGACCCCGTGCACACACACACACAGTGTGTCTGACCGTAGACACAGGCCCTGCCCGGGTGCCCTGACCCCGTGCACACACACACACAGTGTGTCTGACCGTAGACACAGGCCCTGCCCGGGTGCCCTGACCCTGTGCACACACACAGTGTGTCTGAGGACCCAGCAACGCAGCAGGGCATACCACTCTCCCGGTCCCCTGGTGTCCACCCCCCAGCGACCTGCCTGTCGCTGGTCCTGGCTGCTCCTAGGGGCCTCGGCGCACTGTGCAGGCTGCGGTTGGGCTGCAGCACTCAGGCAGCCTTTGGCAGGTGGAGGAGGGTGCCCTGGGGGTGTGGCGGGGCTTTGGGAGCGAGGAGCTCCGTGGTCTCGGTGTTCCGCAGGCCTCCAGCAATGTGGCCGGGTCCTGCCTGCGAAGCCTTCGACGGCTCTCAGGAGCCTGTGGCTATCATTTCTTCTAAAGCAGATTGTATATTCTCAGGGGTCAAAGGTCCGAAGATGAAGTATCTTGGGTTGGATCCTGGAACAGACAAAGGACATTAATGGGATAAAGTCCGGAGTTTAGTCAGCAGCAGCGTGCTTGTTAATTTCTTCGAGTTGACAAATGCAGCACCCCTGGGCGTGTCCGCAGACACTGGCCCTGTCTGACATAACACCACTCGCACTCTGTTGACGTTGTAACCGTGTTGCTGTTTCATGCCTGTCTGCAGTATGCCCTTGAACGTGTGTGGGGTGATTTTCCAAGTGGAGAGACTGCTGGTGACGAAAGCGCGGCCACAGCTTCTGTTGGCTGGCACGGCACGGGGGTCCCAGAGCTGCCCTCCCTGCTGTGCCCTGGGTGCTGCCCTGTGCCACGTGTCCACTTCCGAGCTGTCTTCAGGTGGGGGAGCAGGCTGGCCTGGGAAGGCTCTGTGCAGTGCGAGGTTGCAGCTCTGAACCCCTGGGGTGCAGGGATGGTTTCCGGGGTGTCATCAGGTCTCCTTCTCTGGGGCCCAGCTTGAGTGTGCACTGCGGGGGGTGGTCGTGGCCGCCCCGTGGCCCACACCTAGGCTGGTGACTGCAGGGCCGATGCGAGGTGCTGTCTGCTGAGACGGATCTCCTGGGCGTCGGACGCGCACGGACACAGCGCTGAAGGGTGCGGTGGTGGCGGCGTTGGGCCTGCGAGACCTGTCGAGGACTCACTGGATTTGCAGCAGCTGGGTTTGGGGTTGATTGGTTTCGGTGTGGTCTGTTTAGAAAGGGATATTTCTTAGTAGGCATAAACTGGATTTTTTGGATCGAGAATTTTCGAGGCGAGCCTGTTGTCATTGCTCGATGCCGTGATGGGTTTTGAGAGCCCAGATGGGGCAGACCTCTGGGCTTGCTCTGCGGCTCACGAGACGCCGGGGGCGTCCTCAGGGGGCACGCAGCCTCCCGGGCATCTCTGGCGTGGCCGGCACGTGACACGGTGCTCTGGGACCACGGCAGGCCGCATCCCGGGGCCTTGCTTCTCAGCTGGGCTGTGGTGGGGCCCGGCTGCCTGCCAGGCTCCGCTGAGGCCGAGCGTGGGGTGAGCTCGTGCCGCTTCAGCCCCGGCTCAGCCGTGGGAAGTCCAGGGTGAGCGCTGCACACCCTGTGCTGCGAGTGGAGCCTGAGCTGGAGTGAGCGTCGCTCCTGGCTGGAGGGGTTTGCTTCCCCACGACTTGAAGACCTAAGAGGGCATGTGGTTGTCTCTGCCCTGGAGGCTCGCGTCCCAGCGTGGTGCCGTGTGCAGGGCCAGCCGTGGCTCAGGAGGCGCGCAGGGGGCAGCACCCCCCCCCCCCCCCGTGTGGTGCGGACGTCGAGGGTGCAGGTTGGGGCAGCTCTGGTCTGTAGCAATGTGACTCGGAGAGGGGGTGTCCCGAGGGCCGCGTCTCCGCGTCCAGGCCAGGTACTCTCACTGGCTGATGCTGCCACCCTGTGAACCGGGCCAGCTCTGGGCAGCGCGGCTGTGAGCACCGGGCTGTCTCGGTGGTGGAGGGCGGGGCTGCGGGGCGGACGGTGGCAGTGGCAGGGTCACCCTGCTCAGCGCCCTGGCTTTTTCGCGGAGGAAAGTCCCTTGCTCTTTGGCTGTCCGGGGCGGGCTAGGCGGGGGTGCGCTTCCTGACGCTGCTCTCCTTTGTCCCCCAGGAATGGTCCTTGTGCGCAGCGAGAACGGGCAGCTGCTAATGATCCCTCAGCAGGCCCTGGCCCAGATGCAGGCTCAGGCCCACGCCCAGGCCCAGCCTCAGAGCACCATGGCGCCCCGCCCTGCAACCCCCACAAGTGCCCCTCCTGTCCAGATCTCCACCGTACAGGTGAGTGCCCGTGTGCGCCGAACACCTGCCTCCCCCGCCCCTCCCCTGCTCCCCACCACCACACACAGCCAGGCTGTCCCAAGTGAGCAAGGGGCGTTGGGCGACTGCCCCTCACTGCCAGGGAGGCCCAGGCATGGCTGGACTCTGGCCGGCCAGGTGGGGTTGGAGCAGCCACCCTGGCTCCGTGCCTGCTCTTTGTGCCTCGGCTGTAGAGTGGGGATCACGGGTGTACGTAGCTGCCAGGACTCTCGGGTGCTGGGCGTGGAGAGTGCGGGGCGGTGGAGTGGAGTGAGCGGGTGTGTGCCGAGAGCAGGCAAGCAGCGTGAGCGCCTCAGGGCCACGTTCAAGGGCCCCCCCACCGTCTCGGCTGGAGGGCTGCAGGTCCCTCCTGGCTTGCAGGGGACGACGGCGCCTGGTGTTGGAGCAGAGGCCCTGCCTGCCCTCTGCCCTGGCGCGTGCCACACGCTGCCGGCGGCCACCCGTCTCCTGGTGCGTGGTCCGCCAGCTTCCTGTCCCGCCACATCAGCTGTTTGCCTCGAGTTCACGCCTCCGTCCTGTGGACAGCTGTGTGCCTGCTGCGGGCTGTGGAGAGCCCGTATCTGTGCCAGCGTGGTGTCCCCGTGGTCGGGGGGGCTTGTCTGCGAGGGAGACGCTGATGGATGAGGCCTGTGCGTGCACGTTGGCTGTGGGCTGTGCGCATCGCCGTAGTCTCCTCAGATGGACGTCGCCTGTTCGGGTCGAGACGTCTCCCTCCGGGGTGGGCCCAGCTTCCTGGCCGTACGGATGCGTGCCTTCTCCAGAGACCGCGCAGGGGTCTGGGCACTCCCTACGGAAGTTGGAGAGGCTCTCTGCCTCCTGCCACGGGGAGGGCACGTGAGATTGTGGCTGGGCTTGTGGCCCTGGAGTGTCCTCGTTACGTGTCAGGATTGGGGTCTTTGTGCGGTGGAACCTGGGGTTGCGTTTTCTTGGCTTGCAGCTTGTTTTAGACGACACGGCCTTCCCTTGTTTGGCAGGCACCTGGGACACCTCTCATTGCACGGCAGGTGACCCCCACGACCATAATTAAGCAAGTGTCTCAGGCCCAGACGACGGTACAGTCCACTACAACCCTACAGCGCTCCCCTGGCGTCCAGGTAAGACAGCCGCTGGGCCGCGGAGCCCGCTGCTCTCTGACGGGTGGGGCTCTCCGTGGGTTGCTGCAGGGTTATCGGTACTGACGCGGGCTCGGAGGGCTCCCACGAAGAGAGAGCTCTGAGAACAGGGCTACGTGATGGCTGAGGTTGCACAGCACTCAGGAAGCTCCGCTGTGCCTGGAGGGATGACTAACACGCCTTACGATGCAGGTTTATTCTAGGGACTCATTTATTTATTTATTTATTTGAAAGGCAGAGAGAGAGAGGTCTTCCATCTGCTGGGCTGGTCTGAAGTCAGGAGCCAGGAGCTTCTTCTGGGTCTCCCATGTGGGTTCAGGGACCCAAGCACTTGGGCCATCTTCCACTGCTTTCCCAGGCCACAGCAGAGAGCTGGATGAGAAGTGGAGCAGCCGGGACCTAAACCGGTGCCCATATGGGATGCCAGCGCTGCAGGCGGCGGCTTTGCCCGCTATATCACAGCGCCGGCCCCAGAAATTGTTTTAATATTTGAAAGGCAGTGGGGTGGTTGGAGGGATGGAGAGAGCCACAGAGAGATCTTCCACCTGCTGGTTCATTCTATAAAGTCCTGTATCAGCCTAGGCTGGATCAGGCTGAAGCCAGGATCTAGGAATCCCATGGGGGGGTGGGGACCCAACCTGCTGCCTCCCAGGTGTGCTTTGGCAGGAAGCTGGGATTAGAAGCAGAGCCAGGACTTGGACCTGGCACTGTGACATGGGATGCTGCCACACAGTGCCACGCCTGTCCCCGGCGTCACCTTGCTGATGAGGTAGGTCTGGGTGAGAGGTGCCAAAGTGCAGGCAGTTTCTGTGGCTGGGCCTGTTGCCCTGAGGTCACGGTGAGTGTCGTGTGCCCAGCCTGGTGGTACGTGTGCCTCTCAGCGTGCCTCTCCTGCTCTCACGGGCCGGGCCGGGCTCTGGAGCTTGCTCCTGGTCTCGCCATGCTGGGCCCTGCGCTCCTCTTCTCCACACCCCCCCCATGGGCCTTGGTTTTTAAAAGCTCGTTACGCTGTTGTGGGGCACAGCTGGCCTCTGTCCTGGTGACTGCTGCTCCTGGCAGCTCAGCCACGGCCACTGGGGCCAGGAGAAGAGTTTGCACGCTGGGCTTGCCGGCCCCTCTGCCGGGGACGGAACCCTCGTGCCCTGGAGGGAGGCCCTCCTCGCGTGCCGCCTTGCCCATCGTCTTGGCCCGGCTGCCCGCCACTTCCCGAGAGGACCCTGATGGGGCGAGGCGCCAGGGCTCTTTCCTGTCACGCCCGAGTGGTCATTTCCCTGTGCAGGCAGGGAGGGTGACGGTTGTGACCGAGGGCCCGTGCGGGTTGTGTGGCGTCAGGAGCATGCGTGTGGCAGGCAGGGCTCCGCAGAGGCCTCGTGGTTCTGCCCCCGTGGGGAGATGCACCTGGCCGGGCAGTTACTGCCGTTTTCTGAGAAGTTGACAAAGTTTTGTATCACATTGTGTGACGATGCGTTTACTAAGGTTGGTGGAGGCGGTCTGGTGTGGTTTGGGGGGTCACATAAATTCGAATGAGAAAGCCCAGCAGTGGCCATTTGGGGCAGCAGTGAGACCCAGCCTGGGGTCACCCTGGGAGGCAGCAGTCATGGCCCGAAACGCGGGCCCCTGCCACCCGTGTGGGAGACCTGTGGAGTACCTGGTGTGTGGCTTTAACCTGGCACAGCCCTGGCTATGGGGGCACTTGTGGAGTAAACCGGCAGACGGGCGATCTCTGTCTCTCTGCCTTCCAAATGAGTTAGATAAATACATTTTAAAATGAGTAATATTAATAGAAATAATCAAGCTCGCGGAGGGCAGGATGACTTGTGGGTATTTCTGGGGCCAGAAGCAGCCTGGCTGCCCCTCCCCTCCTGCGGAGGCTGCCCGCTGTGTTCGGCACTCGGTGTTCCGCAGTTGGAAGGTGACGGCTGCGGTGAGGGGACACCCAGACTCGGGGAAGCCCGCAGGCCTGCGGGAGTTGCAGTTCAGCTGCTCGGGCTGCGGGGGGCGCTCCCGGGGCTGCACTGCCCGCTGCTTTCAGAGTGCAGAAGAGCACTGTTCTGAAGGATTGGAAAGGGAGAATGCGGTCAACTTTAGGTTTGGAAATTGGGAAGACACTGGCTTAGGGATCATTTCTGCAGAGCGGGGGTCGCAGGGGCTTGACCCTGGCAGCAGCTTGATCAGCTTGGGGGCAGTTTGAGGTCTCCCTGCCCATCTGCTCAGCAAATGCTCATTTGTTCAGCCGAGTGGTGGCCCCGCCAGGACCTGGTTCTTTCGTTTCTGAGATGGGGATCGGGGTTGGCTCTCGGTTCACACCCGTGTGACTGTGTGATCAGTTTCTACAGACCAGGGCCTTCCCAGGGCTGGGCTTTGCTGAGGCAGGTGCATGGGAGACTCTCCTAGGCACTCGGTGCTGCGGTCCTCAGAGGCCTGGCTCTGCCCGCGGGTCAGCGGAGCCATCTCGGGTGGCTCGGGGGGTTTGTCCAGGCAGCGGGTACTTGTTCAGCTGGCCTGAGAGCTCTGGCCCTGCCCCAGCAGGTGGCTGGGCCCTCAGCCATCTGGGTTTCTTGCCTCTGTGGGAGGAGAGGCTGGCGTCTCCCTTGGCCGGTCGGGGGCGGGCGATGCATTCACCTTGTGTTTTGGGCTCTTGCAGCCTCAGCTCGTCCTGGGGGGCGCTGCCCAGACGACTGCCCTGGGGACAGCAGCTGCCGTTCAAACAGGAACGCCTCAGCGACCCGTGCCCGGCGCGACCGCCACCTCCACAGCTGCCACGGTAGGAGCTGCTGCTTCCCACGGCGCCAGGCGCTGCGCCACCTCCCGAGGCCAGCTGCAGTCAGTGCCGTCTGGGTCGTGACGTTAGGGGCCCGAGGGTCCTGTTCCTGCCAGCTCAGACCATGGACTGGTGCGGGGCAGGGGGCACAGGGGACCTCAGTGTGGAAGTGCATGGGGAGGGTGCAGGGCAGGGTCCGGGTGGCAAAGGCCTAGCCAGAGGCGCTGCAGGCAGCACGCGTGGCTGCGCCGCCGGGCCGCGTCTGTGCCACACGGCCACTCTGCCTGCGCCCTCGCCGGTCCTCAGCCAGAGCGGGGTCCTGCCTACTCGGCCCTTGCCGGTCCTCAGCCAGAGCGGGGTCCTGCCGGACTCGGCCCTTGCTGGTCCTCAGCCAGAGCGGGGTCCTGCCTACTCGGCCCTCGCCGGTCCTCAGCCAGAGCAGGGTCCTGCCGGACTTGGCCCCCGCTCTGTTTCTTTGCTGAGTTGCGTCGTTTTAGCGCCTGCGTCGTCGCCTGTGTCCACGGAGGCAGGCGTCCGTCCGTCTTTGCGATAACGCCTCGTAGGCTCATCGTGGTCCCTGGGCTGAGGGAGAGGTGCCCGCGGTGCCCTCTGGGCGGGGCGGGGCTGCCCGTCTGGCAGGGCCGGTTGTGCGTGCCCAGCGGCAGGGTTTGGAGAAGACGCACACGTGTCTTCTGTGCCTGCGCGTGTTTCGGTCGAACCAGGGGCTTCCGTGACTTCCTCACTCGTCTTTTTTACCCTAATCCAGGAAACCATGGAAAACGTGAAGAAATGTAAGAATTTTTTGTCTACATTGATAAAACTGGCTTCGTCTGGCAAACAGTCCACAGAGACAGCAGCGAACGTGAAAGAGCTGGTGCAGAATTTACTGGTAAGAACCTGCCCGAGGTTCCCTTGGCCTGGGGCGCAGCCCCGTGACACAGGGCAGCCACCTGTGCCGAGGACGGGCGTGGCAGTGAGACCTGCCCGAGGAGCAGGGCCGCCCTGACCCTGCCCCCGCCGCCCCGTGGCGCCCTGTGGGCCGCCGTCTCCCGCTGAGTGTGCTGGTTCACAGTCGGACAGGCGCCCGGCGCGCCAGGGGCCGTGCGGGAGGCCGTGTCCCTGCCTCTGCCGAAGGCTGCCTTTCAAGGTGTCCACCTCTCGCTTCCCTCCCTCGTTCTTTCACCTGCTTTCCAGTGGAGAGGTTCAAGTGTGTACAGAGTGGGCAGAGGACTCCAGGAGCCCCGATGTCCCCATTGCCAGCCCCTGCCCGGGCCCCAGGCCCTGCCTGCCTGCCTGCCCGCCTGCAGTCCAGGTGGTGTTGGGCCGCGAGGGCCGCCGGGGCTCGTTTCGCCGCCGTCTCGAAGCTGCTGTCTGCTGACAGCGCCACTCAGGAGGGGTTCCCCACAGCTGTGCACCCCTTGGCTCTTGGTCCTGCTGCTGGTGGAGTTCGTGGGTGCTCCAGATGCAGGTTGGAGCCCGTCCTGCCGCCCTTGCTCCGCGCTGAGTCCAGCAGCTGCTGTCCTGGGCTGTGCTCTTGTCAAGGCTGCCGGCAGCCCCTCTGTCCCTCCTTCTGTGACATCTTGTAGCCCTGGGCGCTGCCAGCGACCCTGCTCACCACACCGTCACGCAGGGCTGGGTTTGGCTGCCGGCAGTGGCAGCCCAGGAAGATGGGCTCACGTCGGACATGCTTGTTCCTCCTCTTGGGATGTTCCTGCGAGGTGCCCGTCTGCCCTCTCGGAGTCCTGAAGGTGGGGGCCTCCGGGCAGGTGCGTGCCAGCGGCCCCCGCTGAGGCTCCAGCAAGAGCCAGACTCCTCCTCGTCCTCTCCAACCGAATCCTGTTTATGAACGGCACTCTGCGTCCTGGGTCAGAATCAGGGCCCGGTCTCTGCCCGTGTCTACTGAGGTCTACAACAGCCTGGTCTCTGCCCGTGTCCACGCTGTGGTCTGGATGGCCGGTCTCTCTGCCCGTGTCCACGCTGTGGTCTGGACAGCCGGTCTCTGCCCGTGTCCATGCTGTGGCCTGGACGGCTGGTCTCTGCCTGTGTCCACACTGTGGCCTGAATGGCCGGTCTCTATGCCCGTGTCCACGCTGTGGTCTGCACAGTCGGTCTCTGCCCGTGTCTACACTGTGGCCTGGACGGCCAGTCTCTGCCCGTGTCTACTCTGAGGTCTACAACAGCCTGGTCTCTGCCCGTGTCCACGCTGTGGTCTGGACGGCCGGTCTCTGCCCGTGTCCACACTGTGGTCTGGACTGCTGGTCTCTCTGCCTGTGTCCACGCTGTGGTCTGGACGGCTGGTCTCTCTGCTTGTGTCCACGCTGTGGTCTGGACGGCCGGTCTCTGCCCGTGTCCACACTGTGGTCTGGACTGCTGGTCTCTCTGCCTGTGTCCATGCTGTGGTCTGGACGGCTGGTCTCTCTACCCGTGTCCACACTGTGGTCTGCACAGCCGGTCTCTGCCCGTGTCCACGCTGTGGTCTGGACGGCCGGGGTCTCTGCCTGTGTCCATGCTGTGGTCTGGACGGCTGGTCTCTGCCCGTGTCCACGCTGCTGTTGCCAGGGGTCTTGTGTTTTCTGCTGCCCACCCCCCCCCCCCCCCGAGTTCCTGAGAGCAGCCGGCTCCGTGTGGTCCAGTTCCTGCCCATCTCGCTTTTCTCCCCTGTTTCCACCAAACTTCCTGTAATTTCTTGAGCAAAATTTTTTTTTTTAAAGATTTAATTTTATTTGAAAGTCAGATTTACACAGAGAGAGAAGGAGAGGCAGAGAGAGAGAGAAAGGTCTTCGGCCACTGGTTCACTCCCCAGTTGGCCACAATGGCCGGAGCTGCACCAGTCCGAAGCCAGGAGCCAGGAGCTTCCACACGGGGGCGGGGGCCAAGGGCCTGGGCCATCTTCCACTGCTTTTCTACACCACAGCAGAGAGCTGGATCGGAAGGGGGGCAGCCAGGACCCCAGCCGGTACCCATAGGCACCGCAGGCGGCGGCCTTAGCTGCCACACCACACACGGCCCCCTGGGCTCTCTCGCTTCCTCTGTGCGCGGCTGGCCCCTCGAGGACCTTGCGGGTGTGGTAGCGTTGTTCCCTCCCGAGAGGCGCCCTGACCCCCCAGCTCACTGTGCTGACCTTGAGCGTGGAGCCGTCCCCGCAGAGTTGCCGGTGCTGAGGGGCTTGCTCAGCCCTGAGCGAACGCCTAGACACGGGCAGACGCCTCGTGGCCCCCAGCCGGGGCGCGCTGGTGTGCGGGGGGCGGCCCTGGCCTGGGTGCCCAGGGGTCTGGGCGTGTCGGGAGAGACGTGTGCGGGAGGTCTGCCACCGCGGGGTTTCAGCCTGGCTACGTGTGCGGGAGGTCTGCTCCCGCGGGGTTTCAGCCTGGCTACGTGTGCGGGAGGTCTGCTCCCGCGGGGTTTCAGCGTGGCTACGTGTGCGGGAGGTCTGCTCCCGTGGGGTTTCAGCGTGGCTACGTGTGCGGGAGGTCTGCTCCCGCGGGGTTTCAGCCTGGCTACGTGTGCGGGAGGTCTGCTCCCGCGGGGTTTCAGCCTGGCTACGTGTGCGGGAGGTCTGCTCCCGCGGGGTTTCAGCCTGGCTTTTCTCTTTCAGGATGGAAAAATCGAAGCAGAAGATTTCACTAGCAGGTTATACCGCGAACTCAACTCCTCACCTCAACCTTACCTTGTGCCTTTCCTGAAGGTAATCAGCAGGGGGCAGTGCGAGGCCCTGCGGGGCGCAGGCGCGGGGTGCTCGCTCAGCCAGGCTTTCCTGCGGCGGGAGCCGTCGCTGGCGCGGGCTCTGCGCTGCTTCGGAAGAGGCGGCTTGGGGCGGCTTGGGGCGGCTTGGGGCGGCTTGGGGCGGCTTGGCCCAGCAGGGCGGGGTCTGCCCAGGGAGGGCCTCTTGTCCCAGCACTGAGTCTACAGTGCTTTTTGTTCTTTAATGAAGAGCTCCCCTTAACTTCCTTTTTCTTTTTTTTTTTTATTTGAGAGGCAGATGGAGCTCTCGCAGCTGCTGCTTCGCCCACGGCAGCTGTGGCTGGGCCGAGCGGAGCGCAGTCTGGGTCTCCCACGTGGCGGGGCAGAGACCAGGCGTTGGGGTCTTCACCTCCCCGTTGTGCCCGCACCCCAGCGTGTGTGCATGAGCAGGGAGCTGGACTGGGAGTGGGGCTGGGGCCTCAGCCGGCCGCTCTGATAGCGCGCGGGCGTCTTAACACCTGCCCGACTCCTACCCTGGTGCTGCTGCTTTTTGGTTCTTGTGTTTTGAACGACTTATTTTATTTACTTTGAAGGACAGAGTTAGGGGACGGGGGTTTGGGGTGGATCTTCCATCTGCTGGTTCACTCCCCAGATGACTGCAATGGCTAAGGCTGGGCTGAGCTGGAGCCAGGAGCTTCCTCCTGGTCTCCGTGTGGGTGCAGGGGCCCAAGCACTGGGCCAACCTCCACTGCCTTCCCAGGCCACAGCAGAGAGTGGACTGGAAGCAGGGCAGGCAGAGTGGGATGCTGGTGCCGCAGGCGGAGGCGCAGCCGACTGCACCACAGCACTGGCCCGTGTCCGGCTGCCGCGCGCGCCGCTCCCTGACCCCTGTGCCTGTCTTTCCGCCCAGAGGAGCTTACCCGCCTTGCGACAGCTGACGCCGGACTCCGCAGCCTTCATCCAGCAGAGCCAGCAGCAGCCGCCTCCCGCCTCGCAGGCCACCACCGCGCTCACGGCCGTGGTTCTGAGCAGCTCCGTGCAGCGCACGGCTGGGAAGACGGCGGCCACCGTGACCAGCACCCTGCAGCCCCCCGTCATCAGCCTCACGCAGCCCACGCAGGTCGGCGTGGGCAAGCAGGCGCAGCCCGCCCCGCTGGTACGAAGTGCAAGGCCCACCTGCCCTGCAGCCAGCTCGGCCGGCTTCTCAGTGAGGGTGGAAGGTGGGGGCCGGGCTGGGGTCTGCTATCGCGCTGCTCGGCAGTGGAGTGAGGGCGTGGGCTCCGCCCCGCTGGCGTGGGCGTGGTCAGCGGTGTTCATGTGTTAAAGGAACCACACATGGTGGTGATGACTCCCGGCAGCCTTCCTCTGTGGTCAGGAGTGATGGCCCTGGACTCGTGGGGCAGGGGCCTGTGGCCATAGTTGTGGGTCCACGTGTTTTGTAGTGTAGGGAGCCGTGGCTGCTGGCACGTGGTTCATCCACGCAGCCCCGGCCCGAGGAAGGATGTGTGGGTGGAGGCAGTAGGCAGAGTGGGCTCACCAGATGCTCATGTAGTTTTTCCGAGGTGTCCAGGGGCCTTCTTCCTCGTGGACTAAAGTGCTGTGGGCTCCCAGGCCCCACGAGAGGCCGCACCGTACGCGGGACCCAGTGCCCGCGGGCCTCGTCTCCCAGCTGAAAGTCTCCCAGGTTTCTGCTGTTGACGGAGAGTGAGGGGAGCAGGGTGGGGCACGTGGGGAGGAAGTGTGGGCCCCGGAGTGCTGAGGCCTCTGCACAGGGTGGGAGGGGGGCGGCAGCTGGCGGCGCCTAACGCTGAGGGCAGCGCTGGCCGGAGCAGCCTGTGCGCGCGGCACGGAGGCGAGCGTGTCCACCAGCTGCTTGCTGGGAGTCGGGTTTCTCGCGAGGCTCTGACCCCGGCACCGGGGTGCGCGTCTGGGCCTCGCTGCCCGCTGCAAGTGCTGAGGGCCGTGCGCTGAGTGACGCACAGCCCTAGCGGCAGAGCAAAGCCTGGGCTGCCCGCGGCTCCTCTGCCAGCGCCCTGGTGCCAGGTGTCCCCGCCAGGCGCCTCGGTGAGACAGGCGGTTCTCTGAGACGCCAGGCTCCGTGGGTTGAGGTCGGGCTGTGTGGAGCTGAGCCGTGTGGTTTTCAGTGGGGGTCAGGGTCTCTGTCCTAGGGCAGGGTCCAGGACTCAAGGCAGTGGGCAGTGGAGCTCCTGGAAGGGCAGGGAAGACAGCTGGGGAGGGCTGGGGGGAACCGGCCATGTGGGCGCTTTAGGGCCACCTGAAGGCAGGACTCCTCCCGCTGCCCCGCAGGATGAGAGGAGGGGAAACAGCGCATGGCTGCCAGGCGACGATGGCCGGGAGCAGCCTCTGAGCTCATGTCACACTGTGTCCCCTCACGGCCCCCGGCCCAGCCTCAGGCGGGGAATGCGCCAGGCTCGCTGTGGTGCCCGCCGGGGGTGCCGCCCCGCCCTGGCCCCTCAGAGCTGCATGTGCAGGGTGCTCCTGCAGGTCTCGCCTGGGGCGGCGTGTGCACGTGAGGGGAAGGGCTCTCCTGGGGACCAGGACCCCACGGCCCCGGCAGCAGAGCGTTCACCGCCCTCCCCGGCTCTGCCTCAGGTGATCCAGCAGCCCCCGAAGCCAGGAGCCCTGATCCGGCCCCCGCAGGTGACGTTGACGCAGACGCCCATGGTCGCCCTGCGGCAGCCTCACAGCCGGATCATGCTGACCACGCCCCAGCAGATCCAGCTGAACCAGCTGCAGCCAGGTGAGGCCCGGGCAGGAGTCGAGCAGCGCCAGCTCCCGGAGGAGCGCGTGCGCCGGTGCCGGTGCCGGTGCCGCTCTCGGCGCCTTTACAGACGCTTTGCATTGGTCGCTGCTGGTTTGTCCTAGATGATTCTGCACCCACAGAGTCCAGGAGATGACCTTGTAACTGTAGCTCAGACTCAGCCAGAGCTCCCGCTGGGCGAGGAGCGTCTCCCGCTGGGCCGCGAGGGCCTCGCGTCATCGCCGTGTCTTGTCTCGTAGTCCCCGTGGTGAAACCCGCCGTGTTACCTGGAACCAAAGCTCTCTCTGCGGTCTCGGCCCAGGCAGCTGCTGCTCAGAAAAACAAGCTCAAGGAGTCTGGGGGAGGCTCCTTCCGGTAAGGACCGGGCCTGCCGCGTGGGCCAGGGGAGGAGCGGTGCAGGGCACCTGGCAGCTGGATTTGGGCCATGCCTGTGCCCCCGGTTAGCCTCGGGGGCTTGCTTTGTGCATGCCATGTGGCTGAGAATTGCCTTTTTTTTTTTTTTTTAAGTTTGTTTATTTACTTGGAAGGCGGAGTGATAGAAGGAGAAATTCTGTGAATTCGATTCACTTCCCACGTGGCTGTGATGGTTGGGCTGGGCTGAAGCCAGGAGCCAGGAACACTCGAGGTCTTCCACGTTGGACGCAGGGCCCCAGGTCCTTGGGCCGTCACCTGCTGCTTTCTTAGGCACAGTAGCAGGGAGCTGGATTGGAAGCGGAGCAGCTGGACGTGGGATCCCACTGTCACAAGTGGTGGCTCCGTGCAGCACAAACACACCCCCAGTGGCTTTTATTTCAAGATTGATTTTATTTGAAAGAGTTACACAGAGGAAGAGATGGAGAGAGAGAGAGCGTGAGAGAGGGAGAGAGAGAGAGAGAGAGAGAGAGAATACGCGCGTACTTTCATCTGCTGGTTCAGTCCCCAAGTGGCTACAGCAGTAGGGCTAGGCCAGGCTGAGCCAGGAGCTTCATCTGGGTCTCCTATGTGGGTTCAGGGGCCTAAGGACTTGTGCCGTCCTCTGCTGCTTTCCTAGCAGGGAGCGGTATCAGAAGTGGAGCAGCCCGGTGTCGAACTGGTGCCCACATGGGATGCCGACATCGTAGGCAGCGGCTTTACCTGGTATGCCACAGCGCGGGACCCCCAAGTGGCTTTTTTATATGAACTGGTAGAAAATTCACTTTCAGGGCCAGCGCTGTGGTGCAGCAGGTAAAGTCGCCACCTGCAGTGCCGGGATCCCATATGGGTGCTGGTTCGAGTCCCAGTTGCTCCACTTTGGATCCAGCTCTCTGCTGTGGCCTGGGAAAGCAGTGGAAGATGGCCCAAGTCCTTGGCCCCCTGCACTCACGTGGGAGACCTGGAGGAAGCTCCTGGCTCCTGGCTTTGGATTGGCCCAGCTCTGGCCATTGCGGCCAATTGGGGAGTGAACCAGCTGATGGAAGACCTCTCTCTTTCTCTCTCTGCCTCTCTCTGTATAACTCTGACTTTCAAATAAATAAATAAATCTTAAAAAAAAAAAAAAAAAAAAAAAAAAGAAGATGGCCCAAGTCCTTGGCCCCTGCACCATGTGGGAGACCTGGAAGAAGCTCCTGGCTCCTGGCTTTGGATTGGCGCAGCTCCGGCTGTTGTGGCCATCTGGGGAGTGAACCAGCGGATGGAAGACCTCTCTCTCTCCTGTCTCTCTGCCTCTGCCTCTTTGTAACTTTGCCTTTCAAATAATCAGCCAATCTAAAAAAGAAAATAAATTTGTTTTCATACCCGGCAGTGTGGTGTTTGCAGTCGGAGAGGTGGGCTGCACCCTGGTGTCGGCGCCGGGGCGCACTGCTGCCTGCACAGCCGCGGGGTGGGGGGGATTCTGGGGCCTCGGCCGAGCGGTGGGTGTGCAGCCTCGTGCTTGCACGTTCTCCTGGGCCTTCCCCTCCCAGACACGTGCCCTACGCTTCCGGGCGGGGTAGGCCAGGGAGCCGGGTGGAGCCAGGCAGGGTGAGGGCAGCCTGGCTTGGGGGTTGGTGGCCGCGTGGGGGGATTAGGCTCCTGTGAAATCAGGAGGTGGAAGCTGCCGGGGGCCTTGGTTTCTTGCTGTCAAGGAAGGGGATCGGAAGTGGAGCAGAGAGACGTGGGGGCAGACTCGGGCAGGCTGACGGGAGGCGTGGATTCTGGCCTTCTGGACGAGAACTGCGCAGAACCGGCCCGGGTCACGGCAGCGCTCACGTCTTGTCATCTGTTAGGGAGACAGATTGCGTGACGGGGCCGTGCTGCAGCGTCCGCGAGGGTGCGACAGCCAGGTCGGCCCCTGCCCGGCCACACCCGTGCTGGTCCCAGCGGCCAGGGGGTGACAGGTGCCCCCCGGTCGCGTGGGCGAGTCTCTCTGTAGGGAGGATTCAGAGCACCTCCCCAGGGCGCCCCGGAGTGTACAGCAGTGGCTGCCACCTGTGGGGCCTTCCAGCTGGGAGGCGTTGGAAGGATCGTGTGCTTGCATGGGGTCCTGTAGCTGGCGCACTGCTGGCCTCTGAGGATCTCGTGTGGACAGCTGGCGGTGCCCTTCCAGGCAGGACGTGAGCCCGAGGGGCCTGAGGAGTGCGGCGGCAAGCGCAGCCCGTGCCTGGGCGCGGGAGACACTCCCGGGGCTGACGCCGCGCTGGGCACTGTGAGGAAGGCCGGTGGCCGCGGGCCCCTGTGTGTGGCCTCATCTGAGGGTGCCGTGACCAGGACACAGCGCAGCAGGCCGGTGTCAGGTCGGCGACGTTACGGAAGCGATTGGGAGTGCAGTGTTCCCAGCGTCTGCTGGTTTTGCAGAGGCTGATGCTGGCTGCGGCGTTTAAGGGAAACGCGTCCTTGGCGCGGAGTCCCACGCGCTGCGAGTTGTGTTTTGGATGTGGCTGACCGAGTCTCCTTCGTGCAGCTGTGTGCAGACTCAAGTTCAGCTCTCTCCCCACGCAGCTCCTCCTCGAACGAGCAGGTTGACGTCCACGTGAGGCAGCTGGCGCGGGAGCCCGGGGCCGAGGCGGCCGAGGCCCTGACCGCGCCACCGCGTCTCCCGCCGGGGGTTCCCCGCTGAAAGGCCACGCAGCCAGAGCTTCCCACGTGGCGTGACCGTCTTGTCTTCTCTCCGAAGGGACGACGATGACATCAACGATGTTGCGTCGATGGCCGGAGTAAACCTGTCGGAAGAAAGTGCGAGAATACTGGCCACGAACTCTGAGATCGTGGGGACGCTGACCCGGTCCTGCAAGGACGAAACCTTCCTTCTCCCGGCGCCTTTGCAGAGGAGAATCTTAGAAATCGGCAAGTGGGCCTGTGGGCGTGGGCAGCAGGCGGCCTGCTCTCAGCCTCCTGCAGGTCGTGCGCAGGGGAGGGGCGGGCCTGGGACCTGACCCAGGGCTGGGTGTGCTCCCCGCTGGGCTGCCCCGGGCGTGTGCGGCAGAAGCTGCGGCAGGAGAGAAACAGTGAAGGAGTGAGGAGAGAATGCGCACGCCTTTTTATTTTATTTTATTTTTTAAAGATTTTTCTATCTGAGAAGGCAGAGTTAGAGGGAGAGGTCTTCCACCCGCTGGTTCACGCCCCCACGTGGCCACAACATCTGGAGCCGGGCCAGCCAGGAGCTTCTTCCAGGCCTCTCACGTGGGTGCAGGGGCCCAAGCAGTTGGGCCGTCTTCCACTGCTTTCCCAGGCCACAGCAGAGCGCTGGATGGGAAGTGAAGTGGAGCAGCCGGGACTTGAACTGGCTTCCCTGTGGGCTGTTGATGCCACAGACAGAGGCTTAACCTGCTGCACCGCAGCCCCAGCCCGGCACACGTGGTTCTGACGCTCTGCCGTCTGGCCTCCAGGTAAAAAACACGGCATCACGGAGTTGCACCCCGATGTCGTGAGCTACGTATCCCACGCCACACAGCAGCGGCTACAGAACCTCGTAGAAAAAATATCGGAGACGGCGCAGCAGAAGAACTTCTCCTACAAGGTAGATTCCCGAGAGAAATGTCCTGTCGCCAGCGCCCAGCCGGTGCTGTGTGGACACGCCTCCCCTGTCCCGGGCAGGGTCGGGGCCCCCTGGTGAGCAGAGCTGGGCTCTGGAGCCCTGGGCGGGCCCTCCACGCCTCTCAGAGGGGAGCCCCTTGGCCTTGATGACGGTGGCACCCCACCCCCCTGGGGCTCCCAGCACCCGTGTGGTGCAGGTGCAGGTGCCGCTGCCGGGCCCGGCCCTTGCTGGAGCGGCGCTGAGAGCCGCCGTGCCATCGAGGCGTTGCCGTGCACTGTCCTGAAGCATGAGGTGGTGTCACCGTCCGTGGAGTGGGAGTCCCCTGCCCGGAGCCCGGGGTGCGCCCGTCGGGTGGCGCGGCCGGGCCGTGTCGATGGCAGGCGTGTCCTCGCGTAGGACGACGACAGGTATGAGCAGGCGAGCGACGTCCGGGCGCAGCTCAAGTTCTTCGAGCAGCTCGATCAGATCGAGAAGCAGAGGAAGGACGAGCAGGAGAGGGAGATCCTCATGCGGGCAGCCAAGGCAAGTGCCCGCCCCGCGCCCCGGCCTCCGCGCCCGCCCCACGCCCCGCCTCCGCGCCCCGCCTCCGCGCCCCGCCTCCGCCCCCGGCCTCCGCGCCCGGCCTCCGCGCCCCGCCCCGCGCCCCGCCTCCGCGCCCCGGCCTCCGCGCCCCGGCCTCCGCGCGCCGGCCTCCGCGCGCCGGCCTCCGCGCCCCGCCTCCGCGCCCCGCCTCCGCGCCCCGCCTCCGCGCCCCGCCTCCGCCCCCGGCCTCCGCGCCCCGGCCTCCGCGCCCGGCCTCCGCGCCCCGCCCCGCGCCCCGCCTCCGCGCCCCGCCTCCGCGCCCCGGCCTCCGCGCCCCGCCTCCGCGCCCCGCCTCCGCGCCCCGGCCTCCGCGCCCCGGCCTCCGCGCCCCGCCTCCGCGCCCGCCCCGCGCCCCGCCTCCGCTCCGCGCCCCGCCTCCGCGCCCCCGCCTCCGCGCCCCGGCCTCCGCGCCCCGCCTCTGCGCCCGCCCCGCGCCCCGCCTCCGCTCCGCGCCCCGCCTCCGCTCCGCGCCCCGCCTCCGCGCCCGGCCTCCGCGCCCGGCCTCCGCGCCCGGCCTCCGCGCCCCGCCTCCGCGCCCCGCCTCCGCGCCCTGGCCTCCGCGCCCCGCCTCCGCGCCCGCCCCGCGCCCCGCCTCCGCTCCGCGCCCCGCCTCCGCTCCGCGCCCCGCCTCCGCGCCCGGCCTCCGCCCCCGGCCTCCGCGCCCCGCCTCCGCGCCCCGCCTCCGCGCCCCGCCTCCGCGCCCCGGCCTCCGCGGCCGTCTCGGTGGCGTCTCGCTGATGCCTCGGCCCGAGAGCTGAGCGGTGGCCCCCGCGGACCCGCCGGGACCCCACACGCGCTGCAGCCTTCAGAGCTGGGACTCAGGGATGGGGAGGGCCCCGTGGCAGGGAGCGTGGGCTCGGGCCTGGTGTCAGACCGGATCAGAGGCTTTTCCTGGCGCGGGCAAGCCACACGTCCACGTTGTGAGCACTGGGATGTCGTGGACGTTGCTGTCTGACCCAGGCGTTCGCATGGGGCGGGGCGGACGACGCACCGGGCAGGCGCTGGACACCTTGGTCTCACTTGGCTCCTTTGCTGCTTCTTTACGAAACAGTCTCGATCCAGACAGGAAGACCCCGAGCAGTTACGGTTGAAACAGAAGGCGAAAGAGGTGAGCTTTCCCAGGCGCACCCGCCCGCCCCTCCCCTGCAGCTGCCACGTGGCGCACCCGCCCGCCCCTCCCCTGCGGCCATCACGTGGCGCACCCGCCCCCCCCACAGGCGCTCCTGCAGCCGCCACGTGGCGCACCCGCCCGCCCCTCCCACTGGTGCTCCTGCCCTCCTCTCCCCTGCAGCCGCCACGTGGCGCACCCGCCCGCCCCTCCCCTGCGGCCATCACGTGGCGCACCCGCCCCTCCCACAGGCGCTCCTGCAGCCGCCACGTGGTTGCTGGGTTTAGAATCGACACTTCTCTGCAGCCGACTTGTATTCAACCCTGAACTTAGCCGTGGCCCGCCGTGGCCCGCCGTGGCCCCCCGTGGCCCCCCGTGGCCCCGGTCGCTGCGCTGTAACTTGTTTGTTCCCGGGCATTTCCCGATGAGCACGCGCTGTTAGCAGTGACCGCGTGGAGGGGCCGTGGGGGGGCTTCCCTCTGGCAGCGGAGCGGGAAGTGAGTGGGAAGTGACCGTGTCTCCTCCTCACACCAAGATGCAGCAGCAGGAGCTGGCGCAGCTGAGGCAGCGCGACGCCAACCTGACGGCGCTCGCGGCCATCGGGCCCAGGAAGAAGAGGAGAGCGGACTGGCCGGGGACGGCGGGAGCAGAGGTACCCGTGTCGTGGGCCGGGGTCTGGCCGGGGACGGCGGGAGCAGAGGTACCCGTGTCGTGGGCCGGGGTCTGGCCGGGGCCGGGAGCAGAGGTACCCGCGTTGTGGGGCGGGGTCTGACCGGGGGCGGCAGCGGGAGCAGAGGTACCCGCGTCGGGGGCGGGGTCTGGCCGGGATGGCGGGAGCAGAGGTACCCGTGTCGGGGGCGGGGTCTGGCCAGGGCCGGGAGCAGAGGTACCCGTGTTGTGGGGCAGGGTCTGGCCGGGACGTCGGGAGCAGAGGTACCCGTGTCGTGGGGTGGGGTCTGGCCGGGGACGGCGGGAGCAGAGGTACCCGTGTCGTGGCGCGGGGTCTGGCCGGGGACGTCGGGAGCAGAGGTACCTGCGTCGTGGGGCGGGGTCTGGCCGGGGGCGGCAGCGGGAGCAGAGGTACCCGTGTCGTGGGGCGGGGTCTGGCTGGGGACGTCGGGAGCAGAGGTACCCGTGTCGTGGGGCGGGGTCTGGCCGGGGGCGGCAGCGGGAGCAGAGGTACCCGTGTCGTGGGGCGGGGTCTGGCCGGGGCGGGAGCCTCCCTGCGTCATGGGGCGGGGTCTGGCCGGGGCCGGGAGCAGAGGTACCCATGTCGTGGGGCGGGGTCTGGCTGGGGGAGGCAGCGGGAGCAGAGGTACCCGTGTCGTGGGCCGGGGTCTGGCCGGGGCCGGGAGCAGAGGTACCCGTGTCGTGGGCCGGGGTCTGGCCGGGGCGGGACCCTCCCTGCGTCATGGGGCGGGGTCTGGCCGGGGCCGGGAGCCGCCTGGAGCTGCCCGGCTGCGTCTGGGCTGGCTTGTCGCCTCTCCGTCCTGGGAGTGTGTGGTTGCCTCTGAGGTTTTCAGTCCCTGCCCCCCGCGTTGTAGACCCCCCGCCCCGGGATAAAGTTCTCTCCGTGAGGAAGTTGGACCGCCACTGTTCACCGTGATGGGTTCAGGGTGGCTCACAAAGGGCGTAGGGAAGTGGTGACGGAGGATTGGAGCTGGACGGGGCCGTCCCTGCAGGAGCTGGGCTGTTACTGCTCTGTCCAGATTTTGTTAGTCTTTGGGCATCATTTATTGTCTTATCTGTTGCTCTAGTTACAAACCCAACCTTGACGTACGATCATTCTTAAAATCGTTCTTTGAGGCCGGCGCCGCGGCTCACTAGGCTAATCCTCCGCCTAGCGGCGCCGGCACACCGGGTTCTAGTCCCGGTTGGGGTGCCGGATTCTGTCCCGGTTGCCCCTCTTCCAGGCCAGCTCTCTGCTGTGGCCCGGGAGTGCAGTGGAGGATGGCCCAAGTGCTTGGGCCCTGCACCCCATGGAAGACCAGGAAAAGCACCTGGCTCCTGGCTCCTGCCATTGGATCAGCGCGGTGCGCCGGCCGCAGCGGCCATTGGAGGGTGAACCAACGGCAAAGGAAGACCTTTCTCTCTGTCTCTCTCTCTCACTGTCCACTCTGCCTGTCAAAAAAAAAAAAAAAAAATCGTTCTTTGATGACAGTGAATCGTGAACTTGGAAGACAGACTCAGGGTGAGGTGGGACTCCGCCGTCCCTGGTGCGTTTCCTGAATGCCCGCAACAGCTAAGGCTGGGTCAGGCCAGATGAGGGACGCAGTCCGGTCTCCCCTGTGGGTAGCACGTGGGCCGCGCTGCTGCGTCCCAGGCTGCGTGTCCGCAGGAAGCTGGGGTTGGAAGTGGAGCCAGGACTGGACCAGGCCCTCGGCTGGGGACGCAGACGCCTTCCCGAGTGGCGGCTCAGCTGCTGTGCCCAGCACCCGCCCCATGCTGTCCTTCTCGCCTTGAACTGTCCGTCCTTGTCCCCGGCGAGGCCCGGCCCACCTCTCTACTTGTTGAAAACGCACTGACTGTAGCCGTTTGTGTTGTGTTCAGCCGTGGCCTCAGGCTGTCAGCCTGCCCGTGTCTGCGTGGCTCACACCTGTCGGCCGGGGCCCCCATCACGTTGGGAACATTGTTGTTTGGGAACAGCGTTGTTTCTCTGCGGCTTTCTCCTGTCCCGTCTCACTGCCCCCCCCCCCCCCGGCGTCCCCCGTCTCTGTGCGCCTGGCCTGCTGGTGCCGGTGTGTGTCCGCTTCCGCCGTCCACCTGTTCCCCAGGCCGGTGACTCGTGCCGCGCTTGCGTGGACTTCTCCTGTCTCCAGCTCTTGTGCAGTTTTATTAATGTGCTTTGAAGTCCTAGGATCTCCGTTGGGTTCTTTTTTAGTTCCGGTTAAGTCACCGGGATTCCCTGTCTGCTCACTGATGGAGCATGCGTTTCCCACAATCCTTTGAATTTATTAAAGCTGCTTTTTAAAGTTTTTAGTGCCTCACCAGGGCTATCTCAGGTCCAAGTTCTTCACCCGGGCTATCTCAGGTTCAGGCTCCTCACTGGGCTATCTCAGGCTCAGACCCCTCACTGGGCTATCTCAGACTCCTCACTGGCTATCTCAGGCTCCTCATTGGGCTATCTCAGGTCCAAGTTCTTCACCCGGGCTATCTCAGGTTCAGGCTCCTCACTGGGCTATCTCAGGTTCAGACTCCTCACCGGGCTATCTCAGGCTCAGACTCCTCACTGGGCTATCTCAGGCTCAGACCCCTCACCGGGCTATCAGGCTCCTGATCGGGCTATCTCACGCTCAGCTGCATTGAGTGTTTTCCCTGGACCGCAGACCCCAGTCTGGATGCTGGGGCACTGGACGGACCTGGTGGGTGCCTCGTGAGCCTCTGGTTCTGTTCCGCTCTCTGGAGAGTGCTCTGGGCAGCCGGCAGTTCCCGGTGACTGTCCTGGCCCTGCTTGGCCGTCAGCGCCTCTGAGACGCCCACGCTGCCCCTCCCCTTTGTGGGACTCCCCCTGCCGGCACCGTCTCCCCCTCAGGCTCGGTTCCAGGCCTGCTTCCAAAAGTGATGGTGGCCCAGGGGCAGGCCTGTGTGGTGTGTGGGCTGGGTGCTGGCGGTGGTGGCGGGCCCGGTGCTCAGGTGGGGTGGTTCCCGTCTCCGCTCTGCCCCGTGGCTCTGCCTGGCTTCTGCTGGCACAGTCTCGAGAGGAGGTGGATTCTGGGCCAGCGACCCCAGCCGGAGCTGCGGGCAGTGAGTGGGGTCTGGGGTGTCCTGGCAGCTGCGTGCTGGGGTTCGGCTGCCCGTGCCCCAGTGACCTTGGAGCTCCCCCTTCCCGAGCCGGGGCCCTGGGCTCTGTGGCCTCCTGCGGGCCCAGACACCCCCTGGCAGGAGAGGTGAGATGGCCAGCTCTAACGCAGGAGGAAAGCCGGAACCGAAATGCGTGTCGGAGCTGTGGGCAGCACCCAGCCGGGGCAGGGCCACTGGATCTGGGCCTCCCAGCACTTAGGCCACCTGCTGCTCTCCCAGGCCATCAGCAGGGAGCTGGAGCGGAGGCTGGGACAACGCGGGTGTGGGCTGCAGACGTGGGCCTGACCTCTGGCATTGCGCTGGCGCGAGCGCCTGCCCTGCCCAGGCTGGGCCTGCTTATGTGGCCTGCAGGACCCTCTCCAAAAATGAGTTTAAAACCCAAGGCAGGCCGGCGCCGCGGCTCACTAGGCTAATCCTCTGCCTTGCGGCGCCGGCACACCGGGCTCTAGTCCTGGTCGGGGCGCCGGATTCTGTCCTGGTTGCCCCTCTTCCAGGCCAGCTCTCTGCTGTGGCCTGGGAGTGCAGTGGAGGATGGCCCAGGTGCTTGGGCCCTGCACCCCATGGGAGACCAGGAGAAGCACCTGGCTCCTGGCTCCTGCCTTCAGATCAGCGCGGTGTGCCGGCCGCAGCGGCCATTGGAGGGTGAACCAACGGCAAAGGAAGACCTTTCTCTCTGTCTCTCTCTCTCACTGTCCACTCTGCCTGTCAAAAACAAACAAACAAACCCAAGGCAGAGGGAACTCCTGAACGGCGGCCGCGTCCGTGGGAGACGCCTGTGATTGACGACGCGAGCCCTCGTCTTCTGAATGAGAGGACGCAGACCCTCGGCCCTTCCTCCAGGAGAGCTTTGTCACCTGAGAAGCCCCCATGGGCTGCGCCCCTGCACCCCTGCGCCCCTGTACCCCGTGGCGCCTCCCAGAGTAGCTGCCGTCTGGGCTTGACAGCAGCGTGGCCCAGGTGTGCAGCCCGCTCGTGGTCTGCCCGGCCTGCGAGTCTCTGGCCCTGCGCCCACGGCCAGCACAGGGCCCGAGAGCCCTTCTGCAGGAGGCGCCAGGTCCGCGCTGCGTGTCCGGCTCCAGACTTTGCCACGGTGGAGGAGCAGCTTAGGCGGGCGGGCAGCTCCCGGAAGATGGACGCCTGGCCATTTAATTGCTGGCTTAGGGTGACGGATGGGCCCTCTGTCTTTCTCAGAAGGGGGCTTGTGTATTTTTAAAGGTGTATTTTTTTTGATTATTATAAAACTCGTGAACTTGAATACAGTTGCTGGTTTTAGTGCCTTGCGATTTTGTGTGTATTTTTTTGAAGATTTATGTATGTATGTGAAGGAGTTAGAGAGATCCTCCATCCATTGGTTCACTCCCCAGATGGCCCCAATGATCAGGGCTGGGCCAGTCCCAAGCCAGGAGCCAGGAGCTTCTAGGTCTCCCACGTGGGTGACTGGGGCCCAGGCACTTGGGCCACTGTTTTCCCCAGGCCATCACAAGGGAGCGGGATTGGAAGTGGAGCAGCCGGGACTCGAACCAGCACCCATGTGGGATGGGGGCATCACCAGTTCAGCTGCACCCCCCACGCCGCAGCGCCGGCCCCGGCCTTGTGTTGATTGCAGTGGAGTTGTGCTGTGTTGGCCAGTGGAAGCGCCCTTGGCTTGGCTCCTGAGTCGGGCTGGACGTGGAGCCGAGTCTGCTACATGGACGTTAGAATGTCCGCGGTTCGTCTCCTTCCCTGCTGCGTACGTGGACACGGTCACTGCTGCGGGAGGGGCCGCCTTCCAGACTCTGGCCGCCCCGTGGCGCAGAGCGAGCAGTGTGTGGACGCAGGCCCTCCTCGGGCCGGGTCTCTGTCTTCTGCCTCAGGGCACGTGTCGGCACAGCCACGGGACACCCGCATCCCACAGCAGAGTGTCTGGGCTGGGGTCCGGCAATGCTTCTGACCCAGTTTCCTGCTGACGCGCACCCGCGTGGGAGACGCGGATGGAGTTGTCGGCCTCGGGCTTAGGCCTGGCCCAGCCCTGGCCACGAGGCCCCTGGTCAGGTCTTGTCTACCGTCGCTGTGGGCATCTCTGGGGAGCTGGCTGCTCAGGTCTTGGGCCTGCTGCTTCCTTGTTGCCAGGATTTAAGAGCGCCTGCGTGTTGAGTGGACAGTCCCGTGGCAGGTGTCTTGCCACCATTTCCTCCTGATGTCCCCTCCTGGCCTGTGGTCCTCACGTGTCCTCCACGCTGTGGTGGCTTCCCAAGCTGGCCTTGGCTTTGACGACGCTGACACCTGGGCCCTTGTTTTGCAGTGTTGAGTTGGGTCCACCCCGCGTTTCCTAAGGATGAAACCCGGGCTAAATAATTTGGCTGGAAAATGTCCTCCCAGGGCATCCCGTGAGCCTGCGGTGTCCACCTGCCCGGGTCCTGCTGGCTGAAGTGGGCCTGCCCAGGTGTGGAGCTGTGGCACTGTGGCCTGTCCTGGAGTGACCACACGCCCGCCAGCCGTTCCAGCCTCGGGCCTGGTTCCCGCGGGCAGCCGACGTGCTCCGCTCTTCCTGTCTGGCTGTCTGCATTTGTGAGCTGGGCCGGGCCTGCGCCCGCGCGGTGCAGTTTTGGGTGCTGCGTGGGTCACTACATTGCTGCTCAGTGGTTTGGACTCTTGACAACTCTGGTCCTCTGTGTGCTTTTGCCGTGGCTTTTTTTGTTGAGGTTGGTTGCTTGCTTTCTTTAAAAAATGTTTATTGTTTTTATTTACTTGTAACATAGAATATGCGTGTGATAGGGAGAGGCTGAATTCCATCTGCAGGGTCACTCCCCAAATGCCTGGAACAGCCAGGGCTGGGGCGGACCGAAGCCGGGAGCCCGGAACTCCCACGTGGGTGCCAGGGACCTGGCCATACTGCCTGCTGCCCCCAGGCAGCTGGAGTGGGAGCGGGGCAGCTGGGGCTGAGTGGTCACCCTGCCCCGTGGTCACTCGCTGACACAAAGTCCAGACTCCCGACCTTTGGTGGTGGGGGTGTCTGGAAGCCACCTCTGAGCGCTGGGAGTGCCACTCTCACCTCCCTCAGCCTTCCGGGGGCTCCTCTCCCCTCCCCCCTCAGCCTCGGGGGGGCTCCTCTCCCCTCCCCCCTCAGCCTCCGGGGGGGCTCCCCTCCCCTCCCCCCTCAGCCTCCGGGGGGGCTCCTCTCCCCTCCCCCCTCAGCCTCCCCGGGGGGGGGCTCCTCTCCCCTCCCCCCTCAGCCTCCCCGGGGGGGGGCTCCTCTCCCCTCCCCCCTCAGCCTCCTCGGGGGCTCACCCTGGCCACCCGGGGTTTCTGTTTCTCCCGGGGGCTCACCCTTCCCCGGCCCCGGCCGCCCCGCCTCAGCCTCCCGGGGGCTCACCCTTCCCCGGCCCGGCCGCCCCGGGGGCTCACCCTTCCCGGCCCCGGCCGCCCCGCCTCAGCCTCCCGGGGGCTCACCCTTCCCGGCCCGGCCGCCCCGGGGGCTCACCCTTCCCGGCCCCGGGGGCTCACCCTTCCCGGCCTGGCTGTCCCGGGGGCTCACCCTTTCCCGGCCCCGGCCGCCCCGCCTCAGCCTCCCGGGGGCTCAGCCTTCCCCAGCCCCGGGGGCTCACCCTTCCCGGCCCGGCCGCCCCGGGGGCTCACCCTTCCTGGGTCCTGGCCGCCCCGGGGGCTCACCCTTCCTGGGTCCTGGCCGCCCCGGGGGCTCACCCTTCCCGGCCCGGCCGCCCCGGGGTTTCTGTTTCTCCGGGAGCTCTGAGGCTGCAGGTGCTGCTTTCCAGGTGCGGGCTGGCTCTGCCCGCTCGCGTGGCGCTGGGGCCCTCTCCTGGCAGCGTCGTGAAGTGCAGGCATCGTGGGCGTCGCTGGGATGCAGATGGGCCCAGGCCCCTGCGTTTCACACGCAGCCGTCATGGCTCTGCCCTGGCCTGGCCCTGACCCCGGCGGTCACGGGCTCTGCCCCGGCCTGGCCCTGACGCCCGGCTGCTCTCAGGGACGGGGGCTGCGTGGAGGTAGTTCGGCCGCTTAGATTCGGTTTCCAGCTGACTCAGCCCCTCGCTTTTTTTTTTTTTTTTTTTTTAATTATTATTTGAAAGGGGAAATGCCAGAGAGAGAGGGAGGGAGGGATAGACCTTCCGTTGGCTGGTTCCCTGCCCACATGACCCCAGTGGCCGGGGCAGGGCCAGGCTGAAGCCAGGAGCCTGGAGCCCCATCTGGTGGCAGTGAGCCAGGTTCTCACAAGGCGCATCGGGGACTCGAGCTGGTGTCCGGTACGGGACGCTGGCATTGCAAGCAGGGGCCTCACCTGCCGCACCACGGCGCGTGGGAGACGGGGCCAGGCCACGGCGCGTGGGAGACGGGGCCCCGGAGCACCGGGGTGACGCGCATGCGTGTGGTGTTTCTGGGGGTGGGGCCGGTGCAGGGCAGCGCTGCTGGCTCTGCTGCTGTGCTCCCCGGGTAGGGACGCCGGAGCAGATGGACCCCCGCTCTGCGCCGAGGGGCTGTGTTCCTGCTCTCCTGGGCTGCTTGCCGGGATCCTGGGGGTGGGTGTTGTGCAGGGCCACCCCGAGGTGCCGGCGCAGTGGAGTCGAGGGAGTGGCCCGAGCTGCTTCCTCTGTGTGCCAGCCCTGCCCTCGGCGGGAGGAGTGGTGGAGGGCGAGCTGCATCTCAGAGCCCCGCCCGGGGCGTCTGCGGCACCCAGCCAGGCTGTCCTGCTCACAGGCGATGGCCTGGCCCTGCCCCCACCCCGTCTGGGCACAGTCCTTGAGCATCGGGGAAACCTGGAGGGGGCAGTGACTGCTGGGGTGGTGCGGGTCTGCCACAGGCAGTGTTCGGGGGCCCCTGTGCTGGGACCTGGGGCGAGGCCGTGTTGCCGTCGCTGGGTGTCTGCAGGCCAGTGTCGGGGAGGCTGGCGAGAGATGGTGCTCTTGCGGGGAGAGAAGCCCTGAGCCCCCTTCCCCCCAGGGCTCCTCCCTGCTGTCCACGCCCTGCCGCTGACCCCAGGCTGACCGGCAAGGGTGGCCTGCATCCATCTTGTGTGGCCGGGGGGCCGCTGCTGGGCCCCCAGCGGGCATTGGCACCTGCTCGTCGGTGTGTTTTGGGCACCAGTTTTGATTTCAAGAAGAGAGTGCATTCAAATCACTCATCTGGTTTTGGCTTTTAGCACCCGAGACTTGCGCCTGAGGTGAGCGCCTCGCGCTCGTCCCGGCTGTTTCGGCGGCTGAGCTGTTGAGCGCAGACGCGTGACCGCGGCCAGCAGACGGCGCCCTGCGGCTGGGGCCTCCACGGGCCCCGGGGTCAGGTGCAGGCGCCGGCCACGGCGTGAGGGAGCCCCGGAACCGAACTGGAGGAGAGGCCTGGAGCCCCCCGGGCAGCCCCGCTCTCGGTGCGCTTCCCAGAGCCCTGGCCGCAGCCGGCCTGCCCTCTGCCCCGGGGCGGCCGTGTTCCCGGCTGTGGGCACAGAGCCCTCCCTGCCGCCCGAGGCTGCTCTGCCCGGGGGTGCTCGGCACGTGGGACGGGCGCTGCTCTGGAGACCGGAGGAGGCCGCCGGGGGACCCTGCGTGTTCTCCCGAGCCACGGCCCCGAGGCTGGACGAGGGCGGCCCCTCCCCCTCGAGTGAGGCCTGTGAGGAAACTGTGCCGAGACACGGGAGCCCTCGTGAGATCTGCCGAGGGGGAGGCAGCGGCACCCCCACCCGGACTCCGGTGGCTCAGGTGCGGGTGGGCACAGCGCGGGCCGGGGGCCTCACCTGCCCTGCAGGCCGCACGCGGCACCGTCGGGCTGTGCGTGAACATGCAGTGAGGACGCCGCCGTCACGTCTGTGCTTAGACACGCGTGAGCAGCTCAGAGCACTGCCAGGAGGAATTGCCGGACCCCGCCGCCCCGTGGTGACGCCTCCCGCTCTGAGAAGCCAGCCCGCAGCAACTGCGTCTGAGTAGTGGCTCCCAGGACAGCTGGTCGCCCAGAGGGGCTGGTGGAGCTGGGTGTCTGCGGCCAGGGGGCACCCCTCTTGGGCACGTGGCGTCCTCTGTAACCACTGAGCCATCTGGCCTTCCCAGCTCCTCACCAGCCCCCCAAGCCAGGAAGTCAGGGCCTGGTGCCTGTGTCAGCCACACGGGACGACACAGCCGGCCCCAGGAGTGGCACCAGGTGGGCTTTGGTCGCCCACGTGAGCCCGCTGGGCAGCCGTGCCGTTGTCACGTGGAGGTGGGGCCGGCCAGTGCCCCGGAGCCGGGGCGGGAGCCGGGGCGGGAGCTCCCTCCCTTTGGCCCCGGGCCGAGTCTGAGCCGTGCGGGCGTCGAGGGCTAGTGTCCGAGTGTGCCCAGCTGGCCGTGCCGGATGGGCCGTGCTGTGCCCGGGGCCGAGGCCCAGCGCCGGGGCCTCGGTGCGCTGGGGGCCTCTCGCGTCGCCCTGCGTGCCGCTCTGAGCCTCCCGCGGGCACCACTAACCCGGCTGTCTTCTTTCTCGTCACCAGGGCTCGGGCCCGGGCTCGGCGGTGCCAGGCAGCTCCGGCGTCGGGACCCCCAGACAGTTCACGCGGCAAAGAATCACGCGGGTCAACCTCAGGGACCTCATATTCTGTTTAGAAAATGAGCGCGAGACAAGCCATTCGCTGCTGCTCTACAAAGCGTTCCTCAAGTGACGCGGGGCGCGCCCGGACGGGGACGCCGCGGACGCTTTTCTACGTTTGCAGATGACGCCTTTTTGTACCGAGCAAAGGGGATATTGTTCAAAAGCAGCCGCCTCTTTCCAGTGGGCAGTTTTCTACTCCGGTTTCTAATCAGCTCTTCGGTGTGGAAGAGGACCCGTTCCTGTAGCCGAGAACACGAGGCCCGTGGCTCCGCCTACAGGACGCCGAATCTTAGCTCATCTCCGAGTGAGTGGCCTTCTTGCCAAACAAGCCATATATAGACTGGCGGAGCCGCTGCGGGCGCGCCGTGCGGGCCGTGCCGTGGCCGTGCGTGCGGGCGTGGCGCGGCCCGTGTAGGTGTGTCTGCAGCCCACGACCTCATCGCCTTTATCTTATTTTCGTCATAGTCAGTTGGCAAAGCAAACTGATTTTTTAGACCCCCCCCGCCCCGCCCCGCCCCTCCGCTGAGGAATCTCGAGGGGCCGCCCCGCCGGCGGCTCCTCCGAATGTGTGTCAGCATGTGGACAGAGCGTTTCACTGCTATAGTTTGTAAAGCTGTAAAGTCAAAGAAATGAAAACCTTTTCAGCATAAATATATTTTACTTGCACTGTGTTTTTTAGCTAAAAGTGAAAACTTAGATTAAATAAAATCAGAGTTGAGAAGAATCATCCGGGACTGGTTCTCAGTGTGATCGAGTGCTGGGAGAGGCTGTACCTGTCGGTGACTGTCGCGAGCTCCGCACCGAGCGGGAGCGGCCTGCACACTGCGGTTATTTTGCTAAGAGACTGCGAGCTGTGGGCCCACTTTGCAGGCGCCAGAGCCGAGCCCCTCTTTGTACCTATTTTTTTATTACAAATATACTAATTGGTTCTTTATATTTTCAGAGGTTATTGTATTAAATTGTCTATGGATAGTACTTTTCTGACTGTAAATACCCCGGCTTTCTCCGAGTCCTCACGTCAGTGTCAGCCGCGCCCGGGTGCCGTCAGGATTTTCCACCACCCCTGAGAGCTGTTACAGTCTTTTATTTTGTCTTTTAGGAGATCCCTGTCTTTCCATTTTTCATGTAAATTTTGCACAGTTACTTGTTCATATGTAAATATTTTACTTTCAAAAATGAAGTTTTTAATTGCTATTGTTTTATATAGGATTGAAAGAAAATTAACTCCTTTATTAAAGACAAATTTATCTGTATTTGCTCTGTGTGCTTTCCCCACTGCCGGCCTGCTGCCAGGGGCCCCGCTCTGGTTCTGCCGCCGTTTCTCAGCCGCTGGTCCAGCTCTGCTGCTGCAACCGGGAACTCGTCCTCGGCGGACGGGGCTCCGGGCTCAGGGCCTCCTGGCCTGGGGTCTGAGCTCCGCCTCCTGCTGTCGCAGTGGGCCTGGCCAGGACACAGGCGTGCGCCCCACAGCTGGGCTGGGGGCGGCGCACACACACACACACACACACGGGAACACGGGAGCGGAGAACGGGAGGCCCCGCCTTGTCTGCCGGTGAGCTGGGGTGCGGGTGGCCCGGGTGAGTCCTAGCCCTGAGGCGGCCTGTGTCAGGGACACGCGTGCTGTCTGAGCGCTGGGGACCGCGGTGTCGGGGCTGCGGCACACGGCTGTTGTGCGACACTGCTGGGGCTCGGCCGCGGACCGTAAGCAGCAGAGTCGTGTGTCCCGGTGCCGGGGCGGTGAGGGAGCTGGTGACGCCGGGTGGGGCGGGCTCCGCAGAGCTGCGTGTGAACGCGAAGACTCTCCGAGCTCGTCTCTCCCAGGTCAGCTCACGGCAGGACCCCGAGCTCAGGTTGAGTGCATTTGCGGGGGGCTGGGCGGGCACAGCTCCATCCTTGCGTCCGCGTGGGTTCCCCAAGGTGACCGAGTGATGAGGCCACGCTCGCTCTTTCGCCGGGTTCTTGGCCGCAGGCGGCTTGGTCGATTGCCTGGTGGTCTGGGGTGTCGGCCAGTGTGACGGGTTCGACGTCAGCATCTCGGCCGTTCCTACCGCATCCCGTCAGTCCTGGGACGGGCACGGCCACAGGCAGAGGCGGAGGCCTCGCCCGAGCCTCCGTCCTGGCTCCGTCCTGGTGCTGTGTCGCCGACGGGGTCACAGTGCGACCTGGCCGTTTGGACGGGTGTGGAGGATGCTGTCTCCCACGGGGCAGGCTGGGGACGGGACCACAGGGTCTGCTCCCCGCTCCTGCCCCTGCGCAGGGGGAGGCAGGCGTGGAGTGTGGAGAGGAGGAAGGTGAGTGAGAGTCCCGAGGGAGCAGTGTGGCCGTGGGAGCCCAGGGGCGTGGACACCGAGGTGGCGCAGCGCGGGGACGCAGCAGGCCGCGGGCTGCCAGGTCAGTAGCCGTGTCCGCGTGGTCGTGTGTGCTGGCGACAGAGATGTAGACGGTGCCGTAGCGGCACCAACGACAGCCAGACCCAGGGAGGCGTGTAGCAGACAGGTAAGATCTTCACACCGATTTAGACGGAGCAGGGAGGACCCACGGGGAGCGACCCCAGGCTCACCGAGTGGGAGGCTCGGCGCCGTGAGCCCGGTGCTCGGTCCTGGCCCAGTGGGAATCCCAGCAGGGCGGATTCTGGCCTGGTGGTGAAGACAGCCTCATGCCACATCTGGGTGCTCGGGCCCTCGTCCCGGCTCTGCTCCTGTACCCTGAGAGGCCCTGGGTCCCTGCCACCCACGTGGGAGGCCTGGATGGCGTTCTTGGCTTGCTGCTTCAGGCTGGCCCAGCCTTTCTGTTTTAAGTGAATTAGCTTTGTCTATTTTGCTTTCTGTTTTTCTTTCTCATCAAATAAATTAAAAAAAATTCCAACAGGATTTTCTTAGAAATTGGTGATGCAAGGACTTGGAACAGCCAAGACAGTCTAGGACAGAGTTGGAGCACCCGGGGCCACACTCCGTGGCTCAGCACAAAGTAACAGCGGTCAGGACAGCAGGTGTGGGGATGGACAGTCCAGGGTCAGGTGTGGGGATGGACAGTCCAGGGTCATGTGGGCGGTGCGTCTGGGGGCACTGGTGGGAGGGGTGATCACCAAGCCTGGTACCAGTCCCCGGCCTGGGTCGGACCTCAGCTCCACCAGGCAGGTGACCCGCCCGCACACCTCGGTGGGTGGCCCAGGACAGGTGGGCGGACCGTGAGGACTTGTCACATGGTGCTCCGCAAGTGGAATTCCGCCCCACATGGGTCACTGAGCGCTTCCCCGGCCTGGCCTTGGGGTGCCTGCCGGCTCCCCCGGCCCCACAGCGGAGGCGGTGGGCATTGGCTGTGACCTCAGCTTCAGCCTGCAGCCTTGGGGAGCTGTCGAGAGTCCGGTGTCCTTGGTGCTGGGCACACAGCAGGTGCTCACTCGGTGCTGGCTGTCGTGGTTGGGCAGTGGGCCCCAGCCGTGCACAGGCAGGTCCCTCAGCAGAGCTCTGGCCTGAGCCCGTGCCCAGCGCAGCCCCTCCTCCAGCGGAACCGGGCCGGGCCCCCCAGGGAGGGTGAGCTGGAGCCTTCCCCAGGGTCCTCGGAGTCCCCTTGGAGGATCAGCCCTGCGCCTGGCACGGAAGCAGCTGGCTCCGAGTCCCAGCGGCAAGACGTCGTGTGTTTGAGAAGGGCCTGGACGTGCCTTACGTGTGAGACGGATTCAGCAGGTGGCCCAAGCCCTCAGGTGCAGGTGGCTTTCCAGGGGAGGACAGTCCAGGGAACGTCCAGCTGGCAGAGGTCAGGTGGGGGCCTGGCACGCAAGGCCCAGATCCTTGAGGAGCTGCCGTGAGAACTGGGAGGTGGCCGGCGGGGCCCAGTGGCCAGGGAGCTGGAGGTGGGCACAGGAGCTGGGCACATGGAAGGACACAAACGTTGGAGCCGCTTCCACGCACTTGTGAAACGCCAGCAACCAGAGCTCCCGTGCGGGAGGCTGGACGGAGGGTGGGGTGCTGGGTGCCTGGAGAGTTTGAGGATGCGATCCTCGTGCCTCCTGAGAAATGAGCATGCGTGTCCAGGCAGGCTTGCGTGTGGTGAGCATGCGTGTCCAGGCAGGCTTGCGTGTGGTGAGCATGCGTGTCCAGGCAGGCTTGCGTGTGGTGAGCATGCGTGTCCAGGCAGGCTTGCGTGTGGTGAGCATGCGTGTCCAGGCAGGCTTGCGTGTGGTGAGCATGCGTGTCCAGGCAGGCTTGCGTGTCGTGAGCATGCGTGTCCAGGCAGGCTTGTGTGTGGTGTGCAGGTGCCCAGGCAGGCTTGCACGTGGTGTACATGTGTGTCCAGGCAGGCTTGCGTGTGGTGTGCAGGTGCCCAGGCAGGCTTGCACGTGGTGTTGTACATGTGTGTCCAGGCAGGCTTGCGTGTGGTGGTGTACATGTGTGTCCAGTTAGGCCTGCATGTGGTGGTGTACATGCGTGTCGGCAGGCGCCACTTGGCCGCCTGGCTCCCTCCCACTTGCCGGGCGGGCAGCCCTCGGCCTGCTCTGGGGAGGACGTGGCCTGCCAGGGTCCCCAGCACAGGCCTTGGTGAGAGTTGGTGGGGCGGGCGGTGGGATGCCAGCTGTGTGTGGTGCCGGTGGCCGCCGAGTGGGGGAGCGAGGCTGACACCAGCAGAGAGGAAGTCTGGGTGACGGCCCCTCCTTTCCTCCAGGGCGGAGACCCCGGGGGAGCGGGCACGTGGGAGGCAGGTGCTGTGCCGGGATTCCGGGCCCTGAGGATGCCCGAGTGGGAGCACATCTAACTGGAGCCCCACCCCTCCCTGGACACCTGCTTGCCGGGAGCCTGGGAGGTGCTGGCCCGGGTCTGTGTCCCTCGGTCTCACAGCCCGGCCTGTGGCCCGTCCTCTGGTCCTGTCTCCCAGTGTATGGGGGCTGTGCAGCTTGGCCGTAGCCGCCAGGTGGCAGCGTGGGCAGCGGCAGGCACAGGGGGGCGGGGCCCGGAGCCCAGGAGTCACAGGCGGGACACCTCCCAGCTGGGACCCTCAGCCCAGCTCATGATTGCAAATGAGTCCACACCTTCCCAGGTACGCCTGACCCCGGGCACCGGGTGTGGAGTGTCCCTGGAACCCGAGCTGGGGGCGGGGTGCGGGCCCTAGCCCTGCCACAGTCCTTGACCACGTGTTCCTGGCCGGCAGTTCCTCCATCTGGAATGTCTGAGCGTGCGCTCAGCACCAGGGCCTGCAGGTGCGGGGTGGGCAGGGAGGGGCACCGCTGGGGGCCTCCCCTGAGTAGAGGAAGGAGCCCTGTGGGCCCCCCCGCCCGGTGCCGCAGTTACCTGGGTCAGGTAACCTGAATGGGAGCCACGGTGGGAGGCAGGCAGGCGCCAGCCAGGGCGGGCACCTGGGGACTGCTGGCTTCCCGAGGGCTCAGGAAGAAAGTCACGCGGGCGTGAGACCCGCACGCCTTCGGGAGCGGCCGTGCGTGTCCTGGCCGTTGTGCGGCCTCACGGGCAGGTGCTGACCGAGCAGTGCTGGAGGAGGGAGAGTCCGGGTGGGCCCCGAGGGTGGGGGGAGTCCGGGCAGGCCCCGAGGGTAGGGGGGAGTCCGGGCAGGCTCCGAGGGTAGGGGGGAGTCTGGGCAGGCTCCGAGGGTGGGGGGGAGTCTGGGCAGGCTCTGAGGGTTGGGGGGAGTCCGGGCAGGGCCTGAGGGTGGAGGGGAGTTTGGGCAGGCCCCGAGGGTTGGGGGGAGTCCGGGCAGGCAACAAGGGTTGGGGAAGTCCGGGCAGGCCCCGAGGGTAGTGGGGAGTCCGGGCAGGCTCCGGGGGTGGGGGAAGTCCGGGCAGGCCCCGAGGGTGGGGGGGAGTTTGGGCAGGCCCCGAGGGGGGGGAGTCCGGGCAGGCCCCGAGGGGGGGGGTCCGGGCAGGGTCCGAGGGTGGGGGGGAGTCCGGGCAGGCTCTGAGGGTGGGGGGGGAGTTTGGGCAGGCCCCGAGGGTGGGGGGATTCCAGGCAGGGCCCGAGGGTGGGGGGGGGGTCCGGGCAGGCCCCGAGGGTGGGGGGCCACAGCTGCCCCGCCCCAAGTGCCCCGCTGCCCCGCTGCCCCGCTGCCCCGCCTGCTCTCCAGCCGGGGCTCGCGCGTCCTCGGCTCCCTGGTGTTTTCCGTCTGTCAGGTTCGACCCTGAGTGGCGCTGGCGGCGTCGGGAAGCGGCGTCTCCCAGCACGAGAACGCGGCGCAGCCCCTGGCTTGCTGGGCGTCCTCCGTGGCTGTGGGCGCGCCGAGTGGTGCAGGCGGAGGTCTTCGCGTGTGC